CCGCCCTTTCCGGGCTGTGCCGGGCGGGGCTCGGAGCCCGGAACGATCCCGGAATTCTCGGAGCCGCCCTGGGAGCCCTGGGAGCGCTGGCGGCCGCCGTGGGAGCCAAAAAAACCGTGAGTCACCCAAAATTTGGGGCTTTTCACCCAAAATTTGGGGTTTTTCACCCAAAATTTGGGGGTTTTCACCCCAAATTTGGGATTTTTCACCCAAAATTTGGGATTTTTGACCAAAAATTTGGGATTTTTGACCCAAAATTTGGGGTTTTTACTCAATATTGGGGGTTTTTCACCCAAAATCTGGGATTTTTGACCCAAAATTTGGGGTTTTTACTCAAAATTTGGGATTTTGACCCAAAATTTGAAGATTTTGACCCAAAATTTATGGTTTTTACCCAAAATGTGGGGTTTTTACTCAAAATTTGGGATTTTGACCCAAAATTTGGGGTTTTTCACCCAAAATTTGAAGATTTTGACCCAAAATTTGGGGTTTTTACTCAGAATTTGGGATTTTGACCCAAAATTTGAAGATTTTGACCCAAAGTTTGGGATTTTTCACCTAAAATTTGGAATTTTTGACCCAAAATTTAGGATTTTTCACCCAAAATTTGGGGGTTTTGACCCAAAATTTGGGGGTTTTCACCCAAAATTTGTGGTTTTTACTCAAAATTTGGGGTTTTTCACCCAAAATTTGAAGATTTTGACCCAAAATTTGGGGTTTTTACCCAAAATTTGGGGTTTTTCACCCAAAATTTGGGGTTTTTGACCAAAAATCTGGGGGTTTTCACCCAAAATTTGAAGATTTTGACCAAAAATTTGTGGTTTTTACTCAAAATTTGGGATTTTTCACCCAAAATTTGGGGGTTTTGGTAGCAAAATTGAGATTTTTTGACCCAAAATTTGGGACGGGATAAAAAAATGGGAATTTTGGGTTAAAAAATGGGAATTTTGGGCGGGGAAAAATGGGAATTTTTTGGGAAAAAAATGGGAATTTTGGGGGGAAAAAATTGGAATTTTGGGGGGAAAAATGGGAATTTCCATCTGTAAAAAAATGGGAATTTTTGAGGCTAAATCCCCAATTTTGGGGGGTTTTTAACCCTTTTTTTTCCCGTTTTTTAACCCAAAATTTCCCGTTTTTTTTTCCAGCAACTCCTTCGTTCTCTGGTCCCTGAAATCCTCCAGGCTCTCCAGGACCTCCTGAACATGGATGAGGTAAATTTTTGGGGAAAAACTGGAAAGATTTGGGAAAAAATTGGGAAAAAATTGGAAAAAAATTGGGAAAAATTTGGGAAAAATTTGGGAAAAATCAAAAAAAAAAAAATAAAAAAAAATCAAAAAAAATACAAAAAAAAATTAAAAAAAATTCCAAATTTTGGGAAAATCCAAGGAAAAAATTTGTGGCTGAAATGGAGAAATTTGGAGGGAAAATCTGAGGTGAAAATTTGGGGTTAAAACGAGGAAATTTTGGGTCGAATTCCGGCGATTTCCGCTCCAGGATCGCGGCGCCGACGCTCTGGAAGTCCTGGATGAATTCTTGGAAGCCAATCCTGAATCCCTGATCCCGCACCTGAGGCCCATGCTGGAGCTTTGCCTTCAGGTAAATCCCAAAAATTGGGGGTTTTGAGCCAAAATTTGGGAATTTTGAAGCCAAAATTTGGGATTTTTGGCCCAAAATGGAACTGAGACACCAGGTCTACCCATTGAAACCAATGGGGGTTGAGGGACACCAGGTCTACCCATTGAAAGCAATGGGGATTGAGGGACACCAAGTCTACCCATTGAAAGCAATGGGGATTGAGGGACACCAGGTCTATCCATTAAGGTCAATGGGATGAAAAGGACACCAGGTCTACCCATTGAAGCCAATGGGGATCATTGGACACCAGGTCTATCCATTGAAACCAATGGGGATCATTGGACACCAGGTCTACCCATTGAAAGCAATGGGGATTGAAGGACACCAGATCTACCCATTGAATCCAATGGGGATTGAGGGACACCAGGTCTACCCATTGAAAGCAATGGGGATTGAGGGACACCAGGTCTACCCATTGAAAGCAATGGGGATCGTTGGACACCAGGTCTATCCATTGAAGTCAATGGGATTAGAGGGACACCTGGTCTACCCATTGAAGTCAATGGGAATCCTTGGATATCAGGTCTATATTAAAGTCAGTGGGATTGGAAGGACACCAGGTCTACCCATTAAAGTCAATGGGGATTGAAGAGACATCAGGTCTACCCATTGAAGTGAATGGGGATGAAGGGACACCAGGTCTACCCATTAAGGGCAATGGGATGAAAAGGACACCAGGTCTACCCATTGAAAGCAATGGGGATTGAGGGACACCAGGTCTACCCATTAAAGTCAATGGGGATTGAAGGGACACCAAGTCTACCCATTAAGGTCAATGGGATGAAAAGGACACCAGGTCTACCCATTGAAAGCAATGGGGATTGAGGGACACCAGGTCTACCCATTAAAGTCAATGGGAATTGTTGGACACCAGGTCTACCCATTCAAGTTAATGGGATTAGGACATCAGGTGTACCAATTAAGGTCAATGGGGATGAAGGGACACCAGGTCTACCCATTGAAGTCAACAGGAATGGTTGGACATCAGGTCTACCCATTAAAGTCAATGGCATTGGAGATACACCAGGTCTACCCATTAAAGACAATGGGGATCATTGGACAACAGGTCTAGCCATTGAAATCTATGGGGATGAAGGGACACCAGGTCTACCCATTGAAGTCAATGGGATTAGGAAGACACCAGGTCTATCCATTGAAACCAATGGGGATCATTGGACAGCAGGTCTACCCATTGAAGTCAATGGGGATTGAGGGACACCAGGTCTACCCTTCCATCCCCCTGCCGATTCCCAGCATTTTGGGGCAATTCCCAGGGATTTTTGGGGAATTCCCGCTCCTCCCCTGGGGAATTTTTTGGACTCCCCAGCTGGGATTTCACCCTCAGGTGGCCGGGGACGAGTGCAGGGGCGACGCCGTGCGGGTTCGGGCGCTGGCCACCGTGACCTTCCTCGCCCAGAAGAGACCCAGGGTGAGACTGGGAGCCACTGGTTTATACTGGGAGGGGCTCGGGGAAGCTCTTAAAACCCTCAGAAACGGGGGAAAAACCCTGGTTTTTCATACTGGTTCTTACTGGTTCTTACTGGTGCAGGCTTTGCTGCGAGGGAACCTCCTCGCTCTGGTCCTCAGGGGGCTCCTGGTCCCTCTTTGCGCCGAAATCCGCCCGGAAAATCCCGATCCCGAGGAAATTTGGGATGAGGACGAAGGAGGACAGGGGCCCTGCCCCCGCCACGCTGCCGCCCAGGTCGGAATTCCCAAAAAATTCCCAAAATCCTGGCGCTTTTCCCCATTTTTTGGTTGGAATTGGCGGGATTTTTCCCATTTATTTGGCATTTTTCCCAAATTTCGCAGAGTTTTGGGTGAATTTTGGGGATTTTTCCCATTTTTTTTGTGGAATTTTCCCACTTTTCACCCATTTCAATACAATTTATTCCAAATTCACCCTTTTTCCAGGGAGTTTTCCCCAAATTTCCACCGTTTTACCCCACAATTCCCTCACTTTTCCCAAAACCCCCCAAATTTTCCTGGAAATTTTCTCATTTTTTTCCAGAAATTTCCATTTTTAACCAATTTTTAAGCCCAAATTTCATCATTTTGGTGCAGATTTTCCCAATTTTTTTGCTGTTTTTCCTTTTTTTTTTTTAAGATTCACCAAATTCAGGGAGAAATTCCCAAATTTTGGGGGGAATTTTGCCCAAATTTGGGAGTTTTTGACCCAATTTTGTTCCCCTCAGGCTTTGGACGCTCTGGCTCAGGGGCTGCCCCCCGAAAAGCTGCTGAAAGAAGTGGTGAGTTTTGAGGGAAAAATGGGAATTTTTTTTAGGGAATTCTCGGGAATTTGGAGGTTTTGAGAATTTTTGGGAATTTTCAAGGAATTTTGGGAATTTTTCCCGGATTTTTTAAGGTTTTTTTTGAGGAATTTTGTGCGTTTTTTACGTCGTTTTAGGACTTTTCTTGGGAAGAATTCGGAGAATCCTGAGGGAAATTTTGGGGAGAATTGTGGAGATTTTGGGGTTGGGGTTGGACTGAAGAAATTGGGAATTTTTGAGGAATTTTTCGGGAATTTTTTTTTAATTTTAAGAATTTTTTTCAGATTTTTTTTTCCAATTTTCACTGCGGGTTTTTGACCTTTCAGGACCTTTTTTGGGCGTGAATTTGGGAGATCCTGAGGGGAATTTTGGGTGGAATTTCAAGGATTTTGGGCTCAGGATTTCCTTGATGGATTTGGGAATTTGGGGGGAATTTTTTTGACATTTTTAGCGAAATTTTTTTATTTTTTAATAAACTTTTTCATGAATTTTATAAATTTTTTCCCGCCCTTTCAGGACCTTTTGAGGTCATTTTATGACTTTTGAGGCGAATTTTGGAAATTTTGGGGTCAGGACGCACAAAAATCGCAAATTTTGGGTTGAATTCACCAAAACTTGAAAAAATTCGAGGATTTTCCCCTCACTTTTATACAAATTTTATTTATTTTTAATCACGACCCTTTTCTTAGCGACCTTCCAGGACCTTCCGCATGGAAAACCTGGAAAAATCCGGGAAAAAAATCCTGCAATTTTCACCTCTTGGGTGAACAACAGGAATTTTTAGGGAATTTGATGTTTTTTACACCCGATTTTGGCGCAATTTCCGCCGATTTCGGTGCATTTTGTACCAATTTTGATGCGTTTCGCGCCGCTTTTGATGCGTTTTGAGGCGTTTTTCGCTAATTCCCGCTCTCTCCTCCCGTTTTTCCCCGGGTTTTTTCCCTTTTCCCTCCTCCCCCTCACTCTCCGCTCCCCCTCCCCCCTTTCCCCCCTCATTCCCGCCCGTTTTTTGGGTGAAAATCCGGCGGTTTTGGGCTCGGGCCGAACCCGGAAGTTGCCGTTGCTGGAGGGGCCGGGCCGGGGCGGTTCCGCCGGCGGCCGCAAGGGGGCGCTGTTGGCGCTGGCGGCGCTTGCGCGCGGCTGCGGCGCCACCCTGCGCCAGCGGTGAGGGGGCGGGGCTTATGCCCTTATATGGGAAAAAACGGGCGGGGCTTCGAGGCAGGGGTGGGGTTTGTGTCCTTATATGGGGAAAAGGGGCGGGGCTTCAATGCAGGCCGGGGTTTGTGCCCTTATATGGGGAAAAGGGGCGGGGTTTCAATGCAGGGTGGGGTTTGTGCCCTTATATGGGGAAAAGGGGCGGGGTTTCAATGCAAGGCGGGGTTTGTGCCCTTATATGGGGAAAATGGGAGGGGTTTAAAGCCTTTTATGGGTTGAGGGCGGGGCCAAAGGCAGGGGGTGGGATCTAAGTCCTTATATGGGAAAAATGGGCGGGGCTTAAAGGCAAGGGCAGGGTTTGTGTCCTTATATGGGGAAAAATGGGCGGGGCTTCAATGCAGGGTGGGGTTTCTGCCCTTATATGGAGAAAATGGGTGGAGCTTCGAGGCAGGGGCGGGGTTTGTGCCCTTATATGGGGAAAAGGGGCGGGGCTTCGAGGCATGGTGGGGTTTGTGACCTTATATGGGGAAAAGGGGCGGGGCTTAAAGCCTTTTATGGGTTGTGGGCGGGGCTAAAGGCAGGGGGCGGGTTGTAAGTCCTTATATGGGGAAAAATGGGCGGGGTTAAATGCAGGGGCGGGGCTTATGCCCTTATATGGGGATAATGGGAGGGGCTTGAAGCCTTTTAAGAAGAGGGCGGGGTTTAAGGGCTGGTGGGCGGGGCTTAGACCAGAGATGGGGGCGTGGCTTATGGTTCCTCTAGGAGTGGTTTATACTGGTTTATACTGGTCCATACTGGTTTATACTGGTGCAGGTTCCTGGCCCCGGTGCTGGGGGCCCTGCGGGGGGGCCTGGGAGACCCCGACGGCGCCGTCAGGGGGGCGGCGGCGGCGGCACTGAGGGAGCTGCGGGAGCAGCTGCAGGTACTGGTTTGTACTGGTTTGTACTGGTTTGGGACTGGTGGGAATTTTGGGAATTTATTTTGGGAATTTTGGGAACATTTGGGTGGGAATTTTGGGTCTTTTGGGGGAAATTCTGGGAATTTTTACGGTGAAATTTTGGGAATTTTTTGGGAAATTTTGGATTTTTTGGAGCAGAATTTTGGGGATTTTGGGGGTGAAATTTTGGGAATTTTTGAGGGAATTTTGGGAATTTTTTGGAGCAAAATTTTGGGAATTTTTGGGGTGAAATTTTGGGAATTTTTGAGGGAATTTTGGGGATTTTTGGAGCAGAATTTTGGGAATTTTTTGGGGTGAAATTTTGGGAATTTTTGAGGGAATTTTGGGAATTTTTCTGGGGAATTTTGTGAACATCCCGGGCTATTTCCCCCTCCCTTACTGGTTTGTACTGGTTTGTACTGGGAGCAGCCCGAGCTGGCTCCGCTGGCGGCCGAGGCCCTCCCGAGGATTTTGGGGGAATTTTGGGGCTCCCAGAATTCCCCAAATTCCCCAAATCCCGACCCCAAATCCTGGTTCGTGCTGGAGACGCTGCTGGAGGCGCTGGGTGAGGAATTCCGGGGGAAAAAATGGGAATTTCGGGGAAAAAAATGGGAATTTTGGGGGAAAAATTGGGAATTTTGGGGAAAAAATTGGGAATTTTGGGGGAAAATTGGGAATTTTGGGGAAAAAATTGGGAATTTTGGAGAAAATTCGGGAATTTTGGGAAAAATTTGGGAAATTTGGGGGAAAGATGTGGGAATTTTGGGGGGGAAATTGGGAATTTTGGAGGAAAATCGGGAATTTTGGGGAAAAAATGGGAATTCTGGGGGAAAAAAGAAATTTGGGAAAAACTGGGAATTTTGGGGAGGAAATTTGGGAATTTTGGGGGAAAAATTTGGGAATTTTGGAGGAAATTTGGGAATTTTGGGGGAAATTTGGGGATTTTGGGGGAAAAACTTGGGGATTTTGGGAAAAAAATGGGAATTTTGGGAAAAATTTGGGAAATTTGGGGGAGATTTGGGGATTTTGGGGAGGTGTGGAGTGGAATTCCGGGAATTTTGGGAAAAAATGGGGAAAAATGGGGAATTTGGGGGGAAATTTGGGAATTTTGGGGTGGAATTCTGGGAATTTTGGGGGAAAAGTGGGGAAAATTTGTGAATTTTGAAGGGTTTGGAGTGAAAAATGGGGATTTTTGGGGTAAAATCCTGGGAATTTGGGGGAATTTTGGGGAAATTTTGGGAATTTTAGGATTAAATTGAGAGAATTTGGGGGAAAATGGGGAAAAATTGGGAATTTTGAAGGGTTTGGGGTGAAAATTTGGACTTTTTGGGGTAAAATCCTGGGAATTTTTGGGGAATTTTTGGGATTGTTGGGAATTTTGGGGAAATGTTGGATTTTGGGGTGGGATTTTGGGGTGAATTTGTGCTTTTTTGGGGCTGGGCAGGGGAGGAGGTGCAGCCCTGGCTGCCCCAGGTGATTCCCAGGATTTTGGGAGCTTTGGAGCCGTCGGAGCCGGAGCGGAGCCGGGAGCTGGCGCTGAGCGCGCTGCACGCCCTGGGTGAGAGCCAGGAACACCCAAAACAACCCAAAAACACCCAGAAACACCCAAAACACCCCAAAAACACCCCAAAAACACCCCAAAATACCCCAAAACCACCAAAAAAACACCCAAAACACCCAAAAATACCCAAAAATACCCCAAAAACACCAAAAAAACACCCAAAATAACCCAAAACCACCCAAAACACCCCAAAAACACCCCTAAAAAAACAG